ACAAACCACTGAATTATAATTTCGGAGTGTTGGTGGTAATAGAGTTGAACCCAGGACCTTTGCAATGAGCTACCTCCCCAGCCCTTTGAAGATTTTTTATTTTGAGATAGAATCTCACTAAGTCACTTGCCCAGTCTGGGTCTGAACTTTCAATCCTCTCACTTCACCCTCCCAGACTTCTGGATTACAGATTTCACTCTAAAAATGAGAAATGTATGATTACATAAATTATACGCTGATGAAACCATTAAAAAAATCAAAGCTAAGGCCGGGGATTTAGCTCAGTGGTTCCACTGCCTGCCCCACAAGTGCAAGGACCCGAGTTCGATCCCAGGTTAAAAAAAAAAAAAAACAAACCAAAAAAATCAAAGTTATTGACATATATCGAGATACTCATTAGTAATTTAAAATCTTCCCCCCGCCACACACACAAAAATCCCGCCTCATCCAGGCCCATGCCTGTAAACCTAGCACTCTAAAAGGCTGAGGCAGGAAGATCACAAGTTCAAGCCCAGATTAGGCAACTTAGAGAAACTGTGTCTCAAAAAATAAAAAAGGGCTGGGAAGCTGCCTCAGTATGAAGACCCTGGGTTTAACCTCCAGTACCACCAAAAACAAAACAAAACAAAACAATCCAGCTCCAAATGGCTTCACTGATTAATTCCCAGCATCCTAAATCAGTATGAAAAAATTAATTGTATGCATGTACAGTAGGAACAAGTAATTCAAAAATAAAATTAAGACAACAATTTCATTCATAATAGCACAAAAAAGAATGAAAAACTGAGGGAAAGGCATCAACCATGACAGGAAAAAAATGACAGATTAGGCTTTATCAAAACAAAAAACTTTTGTAATACAAAATATATTACTAAGAAAATGAAAAGATAAGCCAAAGACTGGGAGAAAAATGTGCAAGTCACATATCTAATAAAGAACATGCATCCAGAACTTATAAAGAATCTTACCACCCAATAATAGTAAGACCATGTTAATCTCTTTTATAACACAATAATAAAAAGACAACTCAATTTAAAAATCAGCAAAGGCTTTGAATAAATATTTCACCAAATGTAAACAGATATCAAACATAAAGATATTCAAAATCACTAATAATTACGATATGTAAGTTAATCCACATGAAACACCACCCTGTACCACTAGAATGGCTGTAATAAAAGACAACCATTGGGCCAGGGATTTAGCTCAGTGGTTCTGCCACCTGTCTCACAAGCACAAGGTTCCGGGTTCGATCCCCAGTAGCACACACACACACACACACACACGACAACCATCGTGCTGGGCAGGATGCAGAGAAACTGGAATCTTCACATAGCGCTACTGGAAATGCTAAAACAGTGCAGCCACTTTAGAAAGTTTAGTAGTTTCTTAAAAAGTTAAATCGCCACATGAACCAATAATTTCACTCTTAGGAGCCCAAGAAGAAAGAAAACATACATTCAAACAAATACATGTGAGAATGCTGAGAGTAGTAATACTGATTATAGCCAAAAACTGAAGCAATTCAAATGTCTCTCAGTGGGTAAGTGGATAAACAATATGGGGCACACTCATACAATGGAATATTATTCAGCAATAAGGCAGACTGAAATTGGTTTTTTTCCAGTATCAGGAATCGAACTCAGGACCTTGCACCTGCCAGGCACTGAGCTAAATCCCCGGCCCCTTATTAGCAATAAGAAGGAACTGAAGCCAAGCATGGTGGCTCCCAGCACTCTAGGAGGCTAAGATAGGAAGATCACAAGTTCAACCCCATCCCGGGCAACTTATCAATTCATCAATACCTTGTCTCAAAAAACAAAAAAGGGGTGGGGATGTAGCTCAATGTGATAGCCCTGGGTTCAATCCCCAGGACTGAAAAAAAAAAGTCTTTTTTATCTGGTTTCTTTCACAGAACATAAAGCTTTTGAGATTCATCCATCCATGTTGTACCACGTATCAGCAGTTGAGTTTCTTCTTCATTTTTTGTAATTCCATTTGTAATTTGTAATTCCCTATGTAAAAAACATCTATAGAGACAAAAAGGAAGTGTTTGGCTGTCTATTGGCTGGCTAGGGATATGGTGGGATAGGATAGAAATAGGGATCTATTGCAAACAGAATTTTTTGGTGTAATGGAAACATTCTCAAACTGGCTCTAGTAATGGTTGGCCAACTAAAAATGTATTAAAAATTGCATACAATTATAGATGTATTTTATGGTATGTAAATTATACCTCAACAATACTAAAATACAGCTATGTGTGTGTTTATATAAATATACATCTCCTCAGATAAAGTAATCTTACATGATTTGTTTTCTTTCTTTTTGTGGGGGTGTGGGGAAGGGCAGGACTGTTTTTTTGAGAAATGGGCTGGCTCTCACTATGTAGCCCAGGCTGTCCTTGAACTCCTGGGTTCAAGCAGTCCGCCTCCTGTTGAGTAGCTGGGAATACAGGTACATGCCACTGCACCCAGCTCCAATTTATTTCTAGCTTACTGCTTTACTACTGGCCAAAATGAGATTATGATCACTTGATTACTAGTTGTTTTATATAAGTATTTATAATGTATCCACTATATAAATAAGAATAGAATGGCTACATTTTCTAAAAAGAGAATTCTTAGGTTATAAGGTCCATGTACTCACTTAAAAGAAAGCAGAAAAGATAAATAGCAAGAATGAAAGGACATAAGAAACAAACTTGCTCCCAACCTATACTGGTACTACAAAATACACCTTATAATAATGTGTTTTAAAAAAACATTCATACCTGGCTGACCTCTCCTAATCATATTCATAGAAAGATGTAAGGGGAAAGCCTATTGTTTCAAGTTTATACTATGTAAATAAAAGGTAAATTAAAGAAGCCATTGAAGCCAATTTGGTGACACACTCTTATAATCCCAGTCTCAGAAAGTTGAGGCAGGAGGATTGTGAGTTCAAGGCCAGCCTAGACAGTCTACATAGGAGTTTGAGGCCAGTTAGGATGACATAATGAGACCCTGTCTCAAACAAAACAAAAAAAAGCTGGGCATGGTGCCACATGCCTTTAATCCCAGCACTCTGAGAGGCTGAGGCAGGAGGATTAGAAATTTGAGCCCAGCACAGGCAATTTAGTGACTTAGCAAAACCCTGTCTCAAAAATATTTAAAAGTGGTGGGGCTGAAAATGTATCTCAGTATGAAAGGCTTGAATTCAACCCCTAGTAACTTTGAAAAAAAAAAAAAAGCCATTGATTCACCTTTAGACATCAGAAAAGGATGACAAAAGCATGAGTTTTGAAGTTAGCTTGGATTCAAATCCTCGCTCCAACATTTACTCACTATCAGACTTTGGGTTTATTATTCAATTCATCAAAGTCTCAGTCTCTATTTTATATAATGAAGAAAATATTTTATCTCAAAGGACTTCAAAGTGTACTGCTTAACCCACAGCCATCATACAATAAATATTAGATATAATTACTGTCATTTTAGTTTAGAAGGTGACAATAATTTTAATGTGACCTTTAAATTTTAAAAAAATATAAGATTCATATTCACCAAACATTTATTAAGCATTTTGTGTCCAAAGTAGTCTAAACACTATGAAGCAATAGTTTTTGAAACACTAAACAAACTACTAAAAATGATTAAAGAGGGCTGGGGATTAAAGAGGGCTCAGTGGTTTCGCCGCATGCTACGCAAGCGCAAAGACCTGAGTTCGATCCTTGGTACCAAAAAAAAAAATGATTAAAGAGATTACTATGAACATTAAAAAATGTTATAGTGTACAATGTGAAAAAGATTATCAAACAGTAATGGTATGACTTTATTTTTTAAGTACATATGCATATTTATATACATGCACATACATATATATGTATATGTTAAACCAAATTAATTGACGGTCGTCTTTCAGTAATATAAAAATATTTTTTATTTTCTTTTTTCTTAAGTATGATTTCCAATTTTTGTACAATGACTATTTTTTTTTCCCCTGTAGCAGGGATCGAACTCAGGACTTTGTGCTTGCGAGGCAGATGCAGCACTGCTGAGCTACATACCTGGCCCCCACAATGACTATTTAACACTACTACAAAAAATGGAAAAGTAAAACTTTGATCATTGTGGGTACCATGTAACAATGGCTGAGATAGAATGTAGGTTTCTAGCATCCTTCATTAAAACTGGAAGGCAAGGGGCCGGGGATTTAGCTCAGTGGTTCTGCTGCCTGTCTCGCAAGCACAAGGTCCCGAGTTCAATCCCCAGTACCAAAAAAACCAAAAAACAACAAAAAAACTGGAAAGCAAGAACTCAGCACTGAAACACTGTAGTCCTATTCGTCAAGATTATAACAGAACAAAGTACAAATAATATTTATAATTCATTACATAAGTGATTCTTTAGATTGTACTATTCTAATGCTTAAGTTTAGAGTCTTGCTGCTAATTTTTCAGAATTTATGTTAATTAACTTACCAGATGGAATAGTGTCCTAAAAGGAGGAAATAAAGCAAATTACCCTTAAAATTTTTCTTGCACTGTTACGGGAAAATGGAAAGAATACAATATGGGCTTGCACAGAAGGCAGAGATGCTGGGTCATGGCAGAGAGCTGAGATCTACAGTATTTCCTATGACAACAGCTAGCAAGACTGAAGCATAACCTTACTCTCAATAAGTGAGCTACTGCTGACTTTTGTGCCTCTGGTGTTACTAGAAATAAGGTTTCTCAGTCCAGCCACCAGAATAAAGGAGTCCTTTTGAATTATTTCTCTGTTCTCAAAATGTTATTATTAGCACCTTAGTTATGAAAAAAAATTTGACATCTACTCTTCATTGGATGGATGAGGAAGAAGTGGCAGAAGAGGCAACAATAAGAAAAGCAATAAAACTACATGCTCCTCAACATAAATAGCTGCTAAGATGCTACTAACATTTACCAGTCTTACAGAAAGGAGAAAGCAAAATATTAGAACTAAATTTTCCCAAGTGAACTAATAAAACTGAAAACTCACCTGAAAACATTTTGACAAAATCATCAGTGGACATACTCATCACCACATCTGCATGGTTAGAAGGCCATCCATGTCCAACATTCCCACCCTTGCTTTTCAAATCAAGAAACCAAGTGCCGCCGTCTTCACCTATATAGACACATGGACATGGAAACAAACTTAACAATTACTATAGTCAAGATAATCTTCCAAAGTGCTGTTTCCCAGGTTAAAGCCCTCAGGCCGCTATCAATCAAACTCAGCAAATATTTACTAAGCACCTATTATATTCCAGGTACTGTGCTAGGTTTTGAAGACCTTTCAGTAAACAAGAGAAACATGATTTTTCTCACAGAGAGGAGGTGAAAGGTGATATGAGAGCATACTAATCAAAGGTCAGGGTACTCTTCATAAAGACGGAAAGAAACACAGTGGTTACTAAGGACTGGGGGCAGGAAGGACGGGAGTTATTGTCTGATGGGTACAGAACTTCAGTTTGGGATGATGAAAAGTTCTTGATATGGACAGCGGTGATGACTATACAACAATGTGAATGTACTTAATGCCACTGAACTGTATTATTAGAAATGGTTAAAATAGCAATTTTATGCATTTTTATCATAATAAATTAAATTACCTAGGGTGTAGCTCAGCCACTGCTTGCTAGAGCACTTACCTAGCATGTGCAAAGCCTGACATTTGATCCCCATACTATAAAAAAATTAAGCTGGGCATGGTGGCGCACACCTGTAGTCCCAGCACCATGAGAGGCTGTGGCAAGAGGACTGCCAAGTTGAAGCTCAGCCCAGGAAATTTAGCAATGTAGTGAGATCCTGTCTCAAAATAAAAAACAAGGGGCCAGAGATTTAGCTCAGTGGTTTCACCACCTGCTGCGCAGGCGCAAGGACCCAAATTTGATCCCCAGTACCAAAAACAAAAAAAAACAAAAAACAAATAAAAAGGCTAGGAGTGTAGCTCAGTGAGAAGGCCCTGGGTTCAATCCCCATTCTCCAATAGATAGATACACAGACAGAAAGACAGACAAAGAGACAAGCTGAAGGTGTAGCTAGATAATAACTGACCTACCACTTGCTAAAGTACTTTTGTGTGGTACAGTACTTGCCTAACATTTCTGAGGCCCTAGATTTGTTCCCTGGATCACAAAAACTTAACTAAATAAATTAAAAACAGGTCCGGAAAAGCCCAGTTGAAGCTGAGCTTTCAAAGTTAAGTAAGAATTAGCTAGATAGACTAGGAAGAGGGGAAATACTTCAGGCAATGGGAACTCAGGATATTAAAAATAAAAACAAAACAACCAGCAGAATCGAGAGTGCATGCAGCATGTGTGAGGACTGAGTAAAGTACTGTAGGACTGGAAGGTTGAAAGGGAGTGAAAAGTGGCAGCAGATGAGCTCAGGAGCAGTCTAGGCACAGAGCACAGTGAGCCATGTAAAGAACTTACTGACTTCATCCTGTAGGATGCACAATGGAGGGATAGCGATGGAATGCGGTTTGCATTTTATATAAGTTACCCTACTTGCAGTGTAGCTAATACACTAGAGAGTGTGATGGTTAATCCTGATATGCCAACTTCACTGGGTTAAGGTATTATGTCCCAGCAACCGAGAAGCTGACTAACACAGAGAGGGATTAAGAGGACATGCAAGGCTGGTAAGGATGGTGTTGGGGTAAACTAGGAGCTTGAGAATATGTGTGTATGGATCCGGATGGAGAAAAGTGGGCACATTTGAGATAGTCCAACCATGGACTCTAACCTGTCAAACTATAAGCCAAATAAACTTCTCTTCCTTTAAGTTAGGGGTGTTGGATAACTTGTCCCAGCATTACACTACCTGTCATGATGCATATGCCCTTCTACATAAGATTACCTCTTCATTACATAAGAATATGCTGAAGAGTTTGGAATTGTTTGTTTGTTTGTTTTTGCCATATGGAGGATTGAACCCAAGGCCTTCATACTGAGCTGCATCCCCAATCTTTCTTTTAACATTTTTTATATTTGAGTCAGGATCTCACTAACTTGCCCCTCCCTAACTCAAACTTGTGATCCTTCTGCCTTAGCTTCCCAGAGTGCTGGGATTACAGGCATGCGCCACCATACCTGGCTCTAAGAAGTTATTTGTTTTTTGGTTTTTTTGGGTACTGGGGATCGAACTCGCGACCTTGCGCTTGCAAGGCAGGCACCATAACAGAACCACTGAGCTGTATCCCCATCCCTTTAAGAAGTTATTTAACACTGGAAGTACATAGAGTGTAATTGTACTGTACTCCTGTCTACATGGACTGATCATAACTTCATATTAATAGTTACTTGCTATTCTCCAAAGTCTACTTCCAAGAGTCCTGGATATAGCCAACTATCCAAGTGATCACTATCAGAGACTGATTTTCTTCAAAAAGTCACATCCCACTTTGTTTCTTAAAAGCCCCAGATTATCAAACACAATTCTTACCTGACAGTTCAAACTGATAAATGGCTTGCGTGGCTTTAACGACATCATCACTGAGAGCGTCCTTAACAATTCTAAATGTTTCTTCCACAGCTCCAGAATGTGGCTTTGCTTGTGGCTGTGATTTCTCTTCTTTGAATTCTGGAACAGCACCTGTAAAATATGTACTTTCAGTGTTAAATAACTTCTCAGAGCCAGGTATGGTGATGCGTGCCTGTAATCCCAGCTATTTGGGATACTTTTGCAGATAAGGTGGTCATTCTGAATAGACACTGAATTAAACTATATAAGACTCAGTATGTAGATACATGCTTATACTCACAGACACATTTATCCTACGATTTGAAAACACATTCCTGTACCTCAATGAAACAGCTAATACTATATAACCTTTGTAATACTTACATGCCATACTCTTCCCAGTGGATTCTTGAAAATAAGTTACTTTGCAAATGTACTCAAGGGTAAGTGACTGAGGGACGTTGACAAAAGGTACTTTTTCTTTTTGTTTTTTGAGATAGGGTCTCACTATGTACCCCGGAATGGCCTCAAACTCTCAATTCTCCTGCATTGGCCTCCCAAATATTGAGATTATAAGTGTTACAGGTGTATATACAGCCAAACATCAAGTGTTTTTTTTAGATGGTGACTACTCTTTTTCTATTAAAAACTATTGAAGCCAAGCATGGTGGCACACACTTGTAATGTCAACTACTGCACAGGCTGAGGCAGAAAGATCACAGTTCAAGGCCAGGATGGGTAATTAGCAAAACCTTGACTCAGAATAAAAAACTGGGGCTGGGGATTTAGCTCAGTGGTTCCACCGCATGCCCCGCAAGCGCAAGGACCCGAGTTCAAGCCCCAGTACAAAAAAAAAAGGGATAAAGAATAAAAAACTGAAAAGGGCTAGGGATACATAGTTCAGTCCAAGGCCCTGGATTCAATCTCCACTCCTGCAGAAACAAAAACAAAACAAAACAAAAGTCTTTAAAAAGAAAAAAAACTCACAAAGGTGACCAAATACAAAATATATAGAAGTGAGTTTCCTCCTCTTTATTTATAACTTGTCTTGTTCCAGAAAACACTTCAACTTGTTTAACTAAACACAATTCAATAATGAATTAAAAGGCTGGGCATGGTGGCACATGCCTGTAGTCCCAGAATTAGGGAAGCTGAGGCAGGAGGATCGCTGTGAGTTTGAGGCCAGCCTGGGTTACATGGTGGGTCCAAGGCCAACCTGAACTATACAGCAAAAAAAAAAAAAAAAAAAAAAAAGAATGAATTAAAATAAAAAGGGCTGGATGTAGCTCCATGGCAGAGTGCTTGCCCAGCATGTGCAAAGTCCTAGATTCGACCCCCAACATGCTAAAAAAAGAAAGAAAGAAAGAAGAAAAACAAAAGAAGTGAGACAGGTTTTAAAATGGCAACTGGAGTGCTCAGCAATTCACCCAAGTTACACAACGGTAGGAAGCACACCAGAAATTTAAATCCAGGCAGTCTGACTGTAGAGTCTATAATTTCATCCACTCAGTAATGGTTCTTCCACATTTCTTTCTATATTTTGCTATCTAATTCTTACACGGCCGACATAAAGGCAGGACATAGAACCAAGATCTGAACTCACCAGAATGACGCAAGTACTGGCTGCCAAAGCAAGGGTATCAAAGACACAGGCTTCCTTCATGTTTCCATAAGGAGGGAATGTATTTAGATTTAGTGGTTACACTTAAAGAGAACTACATTTGTCATATATGTAAATGCTGGAATCCCTGGCTTACTGGTAGGTGACTACTCCAGGTGATTTGTATATTAATCAAGATATATCATCTCTATTGTCTGGAGTATCAAAAAGATTGCAGCAAAAACACAGGTTTAGCCCTGAAAGACATTGCCAAGTGATAAACGTCATTATTTCTCACATGGAGTATTTAGATATATTTATAATGACTTGGCACAAGAGAATGAAGCTTCAGGAGACAGAAACCAATCTGTAATACGTACATTTGAAAGGTGTAGTAGACTACAAGTATGTAAACTTGAATGAGACACTCAGAGCATTTCAATAATTTAAAAAAGAAGAGACATATGACTAACAGCCCCTAACAATGCCTCTCCTAACTTCACTCTAAGTAAATATTAAAATGTACTAAAAAAGGGCTGGGAGGTTTAGCTCAATGGTAAAGCACTTGTCTAGCATACACAAGGCCTTAGGTTTGATCCCACACTGAAAAAAAAAACAAAAAAACTTGGGCCAGGGATTTAGCTCAGTGGTTTTGCTGCCTGCTGGGCAAGCACAAGGACCCGAGTTCAATCCCCGGTACCAAAAAAAAAAAAACTTAAAACAACAAAAACACAAACACCAAACTAGAAAGACAAGTTTAGTTACTAAGACACATGGACTCAAGTCAAGACATACAAGCCTGCTTATGCTTTGCCTCATGAAAGATCTCAGGAGGAACAGCTCTGCCCACCTAAACAACAGAGAGAGGAGCTCACAGTTTTAAACCACTGGATCAGCATCTGGACTTGTACCAACTAGAGGATTAAGCACTGTCCCTCTGTCTTATAGGTGCTGCCTTTCAAGAAAGAAAGACTCAGAATTCATTTTGATTTTCATATTTCAAATCCAAGTTCAAAGCTTGAAGCTTCCAAGTAAGAGAGGGGCAGATAATGAGGAGGGGTGGGAGCCCTGTGTTGGAGCCTCCAGAGAAGCACATGCCCCAGAGCACAGCTGAAAAAAGACAGGGAGGAGGGCCTTGGCAGCAGAGGTACTGGAGAAGAGTCTTAGCAGAGGAGGGAAAGAAGTCCCCATGTCAGTCAGCTTTGTATACTGGCCCTGGCTATCTGCCTAACAGGTACCACATTAGCTCAGAGAAAGGACTTCTTCCAACAGGTGCACAGTGAGCAGGCCCAGAAGCAACCTTCATATTCCTGACATTTCACTACATTAGCTCTAGAGAGATCTCCTAGTAAGAGCATGGATTAACCTGATGCCTGGGAAAAAATAATAGAGTACAAGGGTAACAGAAGAAAAGTCTATCTCTAAAAATGATTTTCTGTGAAAACCATAAGACCTCCTCCACATAAAAGCTATATGATTACAATGTGTGGATTTTGACTGTAACAAATGTACCACTCAGGTGGAGGACGCTGATAGGAGGAGGCTGTGCATGCGTGAGGCATGGACTACATGGGATTAGCTGTGTACCTTCCTCTCCATTTTGTTGTGAACCTAAAGCTGCTCTAAAACGTGAAGTCTTAAAACAATATATGAAACAGTTACAGAAAGTAATATAACTGGCTGAGATGGGGAGATAACAGAATAAAAAAGAAAGTAGGTAAGTTGAGAAACAAAAGTATAATAGCAAAATTAAACATTAAAAGAATATGGAACAGAAAGCAAAGTGTGGAAAATCTTGTCAGACTGTTCTCTAAAAAAAAGGACAAGGTTTCCCAAGATAAAGAAAAAAATTTTTTTAAAAAATATAGAATAATGATAGGTGGTACTAACTGCAGGGGAAAGGGGAAGGGCAGCCAAGTTGAGAAGAAGTATTTCTGGTCCAGGGATTTAGTTCAGTGGTTTAGCCATCTGCTGTACAAGCGCAAGCGCAAGGACCCAAGTTCGACCCCCAGTACCAAAAGAAAAAAAAAAGTATTTCTGAGGATAATCCAGGACAACTGGAACAGAGACACTAAAACTACAACAAAGAAAGGGAGGCAAGAAGGTAAGACAGCACGAAGAAAAAGAAAGGAAGGGAAGGGAAGGAAAAGGGAGAAAGGGGAGGGAAAAGGAGGGAAGGGAAGGATAGATTTCAGTGGGGAGTGGAGATGGGGGAATTAATGAAGTAAATAACAATATTGTGCTATTCCCTTTCTTAGTATCTTCCCCAAAGAGTTTGGGTTATATTACAGTGACACATGCATACCCATGTTTATAGCAACACAATTCTTAATAGCTAAATCTTAGAAGTAGCCTATATGTCTGTCAACAGATGAGTGGATAAAGAAAATGTGATATTTATATGCAATAGAGTACTACTCTGTCATAAAAAAAGGATAAACGAGACATTTGTAGGAAAACAGATGTACTTTGAAGTGAAATAAATAGAAAGAATAAATAGGTAGATTATAAGATCTTATCACACTACTTATATTGGTAAAATGAAATAAAAAGAAGTACATTTTTGCAAGATTTGACCAGAATTTTATTCTTCCTGTTTTTATTTAATGAACTTTTTGATGGTTTATAAATAAAATTTACTTTTGTGACAGGGATATAGAACTGCTAATTACAAAATTCAAAGATTCAATCAGTAAGGGTAATTTTAGAGAACTATTGTATAGCAGAATGATTCTAGATAATATGAATGCACTGTGTATTTGATAATCTTCAAGAATGCAAATGTTAATGTTCTCTCACCATGCATATAATACATAGTATGATGGCTTTGTTAATTACATTAATTTATTCATTCCACAAATTATAGCTATAATTTATTTATACCTAAATCAATACATCGCATAACACTTCATGAATATATATAATACAAAACTTTAAAAGTAGAAGGAAAGCAAAAGAAAAACCTGAAAAAAATGAATTAATTTATTTTGGATTAAAAGTTATTCAAGACACATTACTTGTCTTGCAACCAGTCTTTCAACTTATGCCTTCCATTATCTGTTTTAAAATCTTGCAACTTTATATTAATGCAAATAACAATAATAATAAAGAAGTTTATAAGGGAAGATTAAATGTGAGATGTGAAAACAATCTGTCTCATGTTTCTGACTTGAATCACTGCTACTACTACTATTACTACTACTACTATTACTACCACCACCATTACCACTACCTAGAACATTTTAAAGTTCCATTTGGTGGTTTGGAAATCATGAGAAATTTTACCACGATATTGGGCATAAATGAAATGTCTAGAACTGTTGTCCAACAAGAACAATTACTACAGGAAAATCATGAACTACCTTGAGAAGCATTGTAAGATTCTTATTCTGGATTCTTATCTTCTGGACTAAATGAGCTGCTCTGTAGTTGTCAGGATGTGGAAAAGGCCTGCATGTAGACCCACATGTGATTTTACACACAGAAACAGACTCTGAATTGTAGTAGTGATATACGCATCAGGTTAAGCTCTAATTTTGAAAAAAAA